CTTTCCCTAAGGAAGTCCTCAGCTCAGAGGGACAGGGAAGGATCCCAATTCCAGGATCAAAGGATAAGGAACCCTGGAATGCATGGGATCCTTGTGGAGTCGTAAGTCTCTGGCAAAACAGTTCAGAGAGCAATCCTGGTCAGGATTATGTGTTCAGCTAACCTTGGGCCCAAATGTCTGATGTATGCTAAGAAGAAAGAAATCAAGGGTCTTGGGTAGAACCTCTTTACAAAATATGAGGCAAAATATCAATGGGGAAAAGGTCTCAGAGGGCTTTCGGCAAATGTCTAAGACCCAGGTGGGAGGAGGGAGTGGGCCATGTAATAGACTTTAAACCAAGACATCATGGGGATGTGGCAGGGGCTGCATCTGGCCCAAGCAGATGAAGGGTCAGTGGGGTAAGGGTATTCATGACTCTGGGGAAAGGCCCTTACAGATGCTCTAGTCCGGCCCCTTCCTGATGGAAACTGAGGCCCAGAGAGTGGACTGGCTTGTTCAGTATCCGACGTCAGGACTGAGCTTGGTCCGTGACTCAGACTCTAGCCTCCCAATCCAGTGGTTTTCCTGGAAGTGGAGGCAGAGGTGAAGCCCTTGACCAAACACATACTCTCTTCCTACCTAGGAATGTGTTTCTACTGAATTCCATGGAAAGGGAGCCACTCAAGTAGCCTGGAGTGAGGGCAGCCCTCTGAAAGGGTCATAATAGCAGACCCTGGTTCATCACCTACCCAGCAGCTCCCCCTTTTCTTCCCCTGCCGGAAACCATATTTTGTAGTAGGTGAAAACCTCTTGATTTCAAGAAACATAGGCCAATTTCCCAAGCCCAAGAAATGAGTCCTAAGTGGTCTCATGGTATTCCAATTCCCCTTTGTCAGTGATTAGCCTAAGGGTGGGCATATGATCTAGTTCTGGCCAACAAGACATAAAGGGAAGATTGTAGGGCCTTCTGAGAGAGCTTTTTCTTTTCTAATAAAAGGGAAAGATGCAGTAGGCGCCATCATGCCTCCATCTCGCACACCTTCCTTCCTGCCTTCAATGCAGATGTGTATATAGTATGAGGGTCAAGCATGACAGCAAAGGCATAGCACCCTTAAGATAGCAAAGTGGACGATCAATCCCAAGTCTTTGGTGGCCCGAGTGAGCTGCTAGACCAGTGCCAGCAACCGTCTACCTCCAGACTTCTTGTTAAGTAGACATTAAATGACCTTATGATTTAAGCCGCTGTTAGCTAGGTTTTCTCCTACTTGCAGCGGAAAGCAATCCTGATCGGCACTGGCCATAGATGTTAGTGCAACTCCAGCCAACTTCAAGAGACACTGTTTAGAAACAGCCTTTGGTCAGCCTCCTCAACCTTGGGATCTGTTCTCCTGAACCCCCGCCCAGCTTTCTTGTCATTCCTCAACCAGATGGAATCCCCCCACCCTTCCACCCACCCCACCACATCCTCCCCCATCAGCCTGGCCAGTCCTACTCATCCTTCATTGCCCATGTTGGATGACCTTCACTGACCTTGCTCACTACCACCAGGCATACATCTGATTGACAACACTGATCAATCATTTATTTACCAATCACACTTGTGGTGGCCTGCTGTGGATTAGCCATAGGGCTAGCGTTGGACCCAGCAGGCAGTGCAAGTCCTTGGGAGCCCTCACTGGTGGGGCAGACACATCAACAGCGGCAGTGTAGGGAGTAGTGATAGAGGGGTGGGTCGGTTTTATCTTGGCAGGGGAGCAGGTAGCCATTTCCATACTGCTCTCTCCAACCAAAGGCTTTATTTCTGTCTGTTCCAGGACTGACATAAGCCCATCTCAGAGGAGGCAGCAGAAAGGGCTCTTGTGAATGATCCCTGAGCAGGCAGGGCCTTGGGGTAGATGTGCTCTTGGCCACCCACCTTTCCCTA